TCGAAGCTTGATATTGTTAAATTAGAATATAACTTTTCAGTTCTGCCATTATAGCATGTCATAAGAAATAAACCTGATTTTCTTTAATAGCAAGTTTGAATCCAGGTGGCTTATAGCATGTCATAATGCCATTAGTGTTATGAGTACTCATGATAGTTTCAGAATAATAGGCTTATTGTTACATATTTTTGAATCAAAATCACGTCATTTCGTTGAAATTAAGTTTGAGTATTAGTTGGTATGTCTGCACTTGTAAGAGGGCATTATATAAAACCCTTGCTTAATGAACTTGCAAATATAAAATAGGATTTTGTGTAGTTATGAGGTCATTGCCTCACTTTTAACAATAAGAGTAACATTAGTGTGTTGGAAATTTTGGTTAGGATGAATCTTGAACATCTCTGTATAACTACGACCATTTAGTATTCGACATTTTATTTCATTTGAGTGTTACTGTTTTTCCTTGATGTGGATGTTTTACCATATGGTTTTGGTTATTATGATTTTCATGATTGTTATGAGTTTCAATATGTTTTAAAATCTCTATCCCTGATTATTATGATTGTTATGTTCATTAATGATACTTTCTGTAATTTAGTATATTGATCTATTTGGATTAACAAATGGAGGGGTGTTTCATGTTAGCTAACTTTCCCTTCTTCAAATTTGGTCTGCAGGGCAGCATATACTTTTTGCACGTTTGGTCTGCATGGAAGATTGATATTCTGTTAAGCCACAGATTTCAGAGAGTCCGCTAACATCCCACATATCAACATTGGCATAATTTCTATCATTTAGAACAAACGAAACTAAAACATAGGCATATAATAAACCAGTGAACAAATAGTTTATATCAGAATAGTTTTTAACTTATATACTTCGATGCTAAACTTGGTCTATTGTCATTTTTTATTCATTCAAGTGCTTGATATTCAAAATGAGAGGCAAAATTAGAGCAAATAAATGAATAAATTTCGACTATCCTTATACTTATATTTGTTTAAAATATAGAACTAATATAGAAACTTAAAACGCATGATGTTGAGGGACATAAAACGCATAAATTTAAAACTTAAATTTCTATTGATGCACTTTGCAGGATGTTGAGCACTTTGCTCTAATTATTATTTTCCCCTTATGATCATTATGTGTTTTTGGATATAGATGGAAGTTTTACAAATATATGTTTTGTTCCAGGGACCCAAGTATGAAGAGATAAGAGATAGATCTACTTGACTTGGATGGGTTCTGTAAGTTGATGGATAGAGAGAGGTGTTGTTCATGCTATAGTTTTATAAATAGCCTCTTTGATGAAATGCTCATCTCATTATTTTTAAGCTAAACAAAGTCTTCTTATCTGATTATTGACTTCTGATGAGGGTGTTTTCTAAAATAGATGGAAAGCTGCGTTGGGATAGCAAAAATATGGGAGTTCTAGAAGCATTTCATGTTTTTCTTTTGGATCTGGTAGAAATAGAACACAAGTGTACATCCTAGTACATTTGAAGTTAGAATTTTGAGGTAAATATTTAGCTCTGCCATTTCCTTTAAACTATATTTTCCTTTTCATTTTGTTTTCTTTTGTTGTTGAATAGTTTGATGAGAAATCTAGTTTTTGCATCAAGGAATTCCAGTATCTATCTAATTTTGTAGGAGATGAAGCTTCAATCTTGATTTCATTCACATCAATTTTTTTTGGAAGGAAATCCTTTTTTTCTTCTAAATGATCTTTTAGTATACTTTTGGATAAATGTGTGAACTTCTTGTAATTTGATTCAAGTATATTTAACAATCTTTTAAGCTTTCGTTATGTTCATTTTCAGGTTGTGTCATTTCTTTGTAATTCCAGAGCTGATTTGGAAATTGAGATTTGAATCTTTTGGGCAACCAGGTGTTCCGTTAGTTTTTATATTTTCTCCTTCCAAATAAATTTCTTACAATGTATTATTGTTGTAGTATTCTGTTTTTAAATTTGTGGTGTACAAATTGTGAAGCCCAGGAATTACAAAAACATCAATTGGTTTGGATTTGAATAGAGAAATTTTTATAAAGAACATCTTGTCGTTCTAGTTACATATGGTGTGTATATCCTTATGCCAGGAATTCATAGTGGATTTTTTTTGTGTAGTCTTGACGTTGCTGATCGATTCATGTTAGCCGACCCCAAATTCTTTTAGGATTAAGGTTTGGATGTTGTTGTTGTTGTAGTAGTCTTGACGTTGCTAGATTACTTTTTCTGTAACTGTCGTTTGCATTTAGTTTCGTAGTATGTATTTTGATATTGTGTACTCCGTATATACATTTTGGGAAACCAAACTAATAATACATTGGTGGGTTGTTTTTAAATAACCTACATAACGCGTTTGCATTTTTTTATAAAAAAGGGACTTACAACGTCGGTTTTGCGTGACAACCGACGTAATACATATTTTTATATTTTTTTTCAAATTACCTTCAACGTCGGTTTTAGAAAAAAACGACGTAATATGTGTTTTTTAATTTTTTGAAATTATATTCAACGTCGGTTTTTCTACGTAACTGACGTTGTAGGTTATATTTAACTTTTAAAGCTTCACTTATAACGTCGGTTCTTTAACCGACGTCAAATCTGCTTACCTTTTACGTCTCTTACTTACACGTCTGTTGCAAAACCGACGTGAAAAGTATAAAATAACCGACGTGGAATGTCACTTTTGTAGTAGTGCCTTCATTTTCTGTTGACCCTGCTCCTTACTATGAAGCTGCTAAGAAAAAGAATATTGCTGCTGGAACATACAGACAACCACCTCCACCTCCAAGAAGCTCTAAGAAGAAGTCTTCTAACTTCTCATTCAACGAGTGAATGAAGAGTGGTTTGTCAAGGCCTGACAGAGCTCAATTTAAGCAGATGAATAAGCTCATGATCCCACTTCAGCAAGAAAATCTCTTCATGGATAGTGATGGACTTGTCCAGATCAATCATGGTGGATCCATCCAAGAAGCTGAAGTCTGGTGGCAAATGAAGGTCATTCCAGGCAAAAACATATCAGAAGCTGTGAGAAATTATTTGGACTGCAAGTTAGAGCCTCATTGGCCAGAGTGCCAGAATCCGAGGAACCTTGCCTCAATCAGAGCAAAAGTCAACGCAGAGCTCAGAAGGATAGATGAAGCTGATGCTCAGGTAGGAGAAGAAGACTCTTAAATTCTTCTATCTCTTGTATTTGTACTCTCTGATAATAAAGCGGACGGACCCAGGGTTAGGCGATTATCGTTGAACAATTTTGCGTAGGTTGGGAAAAGGGCGGCGCTCAATCGACGTCTGAAGGAGATTCGATCAACGGGGCGTGGGCAGTGTTTCGACAAGAGAAGGGCTTGGACAGAGAAGGGGATCGGCTCTTGACTGGGCAGGGTTGCGAACTGCTCAATCCGTAGCGGAACAGATTGGGCGGCGGCTCTCTGGTTGCCTGCGGACTGACTCAATTGTTAGCAGGCCAAGGTGTGATGAAAATACTTCTTGATCGGGATGCAGGAGGTGTTGGGGTCGTGCGAAGGGAGGTGCTCAATTTTTGGCTTGTGCGGCGGACCTGTGGTGCGGCGATTTGGTTGATTCCACTCCGGCGGCCACTTGAGAGGAGATGATGGCGGGGGATCTGGGAACGGTTCGAGGGGAAGTGATTGATTCAGAAGTTTGGCATCATGGAGATGGATGAGGAAGATGAGGCTATGGTGGTGAAAGTCATGGCTTGGGGTGCGGCGGTACTGTTGGTCCGTCTTCCTCCTGAACCACCGCCATGGAACACACGAGTTGGAGTTCTGCCCGTCGGTGGAAAGTCTCAGTTAAAAGAGATCAAGAATAATGGAGCTGGCAAGTAGTGACAAACTCATTTAGTTTGCATTTTAATACTGTTATCTTCCAATCAGTTTTTTATTTTGGAACCTTAGTGTCTTTGGTAGTCATGCTTATGAGGTGGGTAGATATTTTGTGACAAGGAGTAAGATGGCTTCAAAAGCCGAGATAATCTTCAAATCACTCTGAGGGTTACGACTCGATCCGTTATATCTAGGGTGATCGTTTCTATGTCTAATCAGAGGGTGATGGAACCTTCGGGTCATGATGAGTTTGGTAGTAAGAGGTTGTCCTGTATTGAGAAGTTTGTAATGTCGTTGATTCTTGATTTTTAATATAAGAAGGTGCTCCTGAACCAAATCCCAACCAGACGCATCCCCTAAACCAGACCCCAACCAGTTCCAGCCCCCAACCCTAGCCGCAAGCACAATCAATGACCAGACCCAGGCGCCGTCACAACTCCCAGCCAACCCCATCTCCAACCCTAGTTGCCATGACATTTTAGATCAGCATCACAAAACGATGGTGAAGCCGTCGTGATTGAACACCGTCGTAACTGATCGATGTCATCAGTGAAGCGCTTCGTCTTCCATCGGTGCGAAATAGAAAAATACGAAAAAGAAGGCTGGCGACGGACTTCGGCAGCGGCGATGTGCTTCGGCATCCACTGCGATCTATCAGAGAGAATCGACAACAAAGCGACGAGAGCTGGAGGAGGAGAGCAGCTGCGACCTCGGAGAGCGACGAAGATGGCAGAACTTGAAGAGGAAAGAGCTGCTCCAGATCGATCGCCACTTGCTCTCCAAATGAAGATGGCCAATGTCTTGAAGCGAGCAGAGACGCGAACGATTTATGAGATTTGATAATAGTCATATTTTTGGGAAAAAATGAAAAATTGTCATTTTTTTGTATTTGACAAACCTATAGGTAATATTCATGTCCTTATTCCATTTCTAATATTCGTATGATCCCTAACATTTTTAGGACCCTCACGCGGCCCGCCCATCCTGTCTGAGTTCTCAAAATTAGAACCCAATCCTAACTCGCTTCAAATCTGTATTACCCGATCCGATCCATGATTCTTGTATGGTTGTACCGTACTACTGTTTGTCCACCCTATTGGTAATTACTCCATATTACTCGGTATTACTTCTCAACTAAAAGACCCATATATCGGGAATAGAAGGATCTAGAGACCCTTTGCGAGACAGGTACGTTAGCAATAGAAGGACCTAGAGACCCTAACAAAACCCTATATAAAGAAGAACATACACTCCATCTCACTCATACAGCATATCTCTATCGTTCTTGCACCTTCAAAATTTCCAATTCAAATTAATTTATTAAAGAGATCGAAGCGTTTGCTCTGCGATATCGGAAATGGCGGATACGGAGACGTTTGCCTTCCAGGCTGAGATCAACCAGCTTCTGAGTCTGATCATCAACACTTTCTATAGCAACAAGGAGATCTTTCTCCGTGAACTAATCAGCAATTCTTCTGATGTAAGCATCTCTACATGCCTCTATCACCATAAGATCGATTCCATTCTGTTTGAAATATCGTGTGACTCTGTGTACATGCCTTTATACATTTATTTGATTCAGTTCGGCCGATTTGTGTCAACCTGTTCTGTAGACATTAAGTTCTGCTTTATTAGATCAATGCCCTTTATTTTCTACTTATGAATAAAGATTTAAATTGTTACTTGTGAAAAGGGTTTGGTGTTTTGAATGGGATAAGCAATACGTTGTATTAAAATACTAAGCTGGTATAAAAAGTGTTAAACGGCCTAATATTGTAAAGCTTTCATCGTCTAGATATTGTAAGATGTTTTAGACTTTTGTCTACTTTAACAAATGCGTATTTTGCCCAATACTCCGTTATTCTTTAGGCTGCACATCTAGTTTCATTGGCATTCATTTTTAAAATTGACAAATGAAAACAAAAAACTTCTGCTCAGGTTAGTTAGGTAGTGATTGCTATACTTGTGAAATCATTTCTCTACAAAAGGGTGTAATCACGACCTATTGATATGTGTAAGTATGTCTTGATAATTAGATTATATGATTTCATTTCATACTTGTTACAAGTAACAATAGCCGGCTTCTCTATATTGTCTTATCTGTGCAAGTTAACATTTTCAGCTAGTATTCATGTCAATTCATGTGCAGTCATTGTTTAATTAAATTGATATTTGTCTAGCGTTACTACATATTTTGCGTCACACATAAGTCAGTACTCTTAACGGCCATACCTTTGTTGCTAGGCTCTAGACAAGATCAGATTTGAAAGCTTGACTGACAAGAGTAAGCTAGATGCTCAACCAGAGCTTTTCATCCACATCATCCCTGACAAGACCAATAACTCGTTGACGATCATTGATAGTGGTATTGGCATGACAAAGGCTGGTAAGTAATAACACCACCATTTACTACTTTGTTATTCTTTATCTCTCAAGTATGTCCTCTTACATGCATCCGCTCTGTGTTTTCAGACCTGGTTAACAACCTGGGGACAATTGCAAGGTCCGGCACGAAAGAGTTTATGGAAGCTCTAGCAGCTGGTGCTGATGTTAGTATGATTGGACAGTTCGGTGTGGGATTTTACTCTGCTTATCTTGTTGCTGAGAAGGTCATTGTTACCACAAAGCACAATGATGATGAGCAGTATATCTGGGAATCCCAAGCAGGCGGTTCATTCACTGTCACCAGAGATTCAGGGGAGCCCCTTGGCAGGGGTACCAAAATTACCCTCTACCTAAAGGAGGACCAGCTTGAGTACCTGGAAGAGCGCCGACTGAAGGATTTGATCAAGAAGCACTCTGAGTTCATAAGCTACCCTATCTCCCTCTGGATTGAGAAGACTGTTGAGAAGGAAATATCTGATGATGAGGATGAAGAGGAGAAAAAAGACGAAGAAGGAAAGGTTGAAGAGGTTGATGAGGAGAAGGATGAAAAGAAAAAGAAGAAGATCAAGGAGGTTTCGCATGAATGGTCTTTGGTGAACAAACAAAAACCCATCTGGATGAGGAAACCAGAGGAGATCACAAAAGAAGAATATGCTGCATTCTACAAGAGCCTCACCAACGACTGGGAGGAGCATTTGGCTGTGAAGCACTTTTCAGTTGAGGGCCAGTTGGAGTTCAAGGCTGTCCTCTTTGTTCCGAAGAGGGCTCCTTTTGACCTCTTTGACACAAAGAAGAAGCCAAACAACATCAAGCTCTATGTCCGTCGTGTATTCATCATGGACAATTGTGAGGAGTTGATCCCAGAATACTTGAGTTTTGTCAAGGGAATTGTCGACTCTGAGGACCTCCCTCTTAACATTTCTCGTGAGACTCTGCAGCAAAACAAGATCCTGAAGGTTATTCGCAAGAACTTGGTGAAGAAGTGTGTGGAGCTCTTCTTTGAGATAGCTGAAAACAAGGAAGACTACAACAAATTCTATGAGGCTTTCTCAAAGAACCTAAAGCTTGGCATTCATGAGGATTCGCAGAACAGGACTAAGCTTGCAGAGCTACTTCGTTACCACTCCACAAAAAGTGGTGATGAGTTGACCAGCCTGAAGGATTATGTGACCAGGATGAAGGAAGGACAGAATGACATCTACTACATCACAGGTGAGAGCAAGAAGGCTGTTGAGAACTCTCCATTCCTTGAAAAGCTCAAGAAGAAAGGATATGAGGTCCTATTCATGGTTGATGCGATTGATGAGTACTCTGTTGGTCAGTTGAAGGAGTTTGAAGGGAAGAAGCTTGTTTCTGCGACAAAAGAAGGTCTGAAGCTTGAAGAGAGTGAGGATGAGAAGAAGAAGAGTGAAGAGCTGAAGGCCAAGTTTGAGGGTTTGTGCAAGGTGATCAAGGATATTCTTGGGGACAAGGTTGAAAAGGTTGTTGTCTCTGACCGTGTGGTGGACTCTCCCTGCTGTTTGGTCACTGGAGAGTACGGGTGGACTGCAAACATGGAGAGAATCATGAAGGCACAAGCTCTAAGAGATGCCAGTATGGCCGGGTACATGTCAAGCAAGAAGACAATGGAGATCAACCCTGAAAACCCCATCATGGAAGAGCTGAGGAAAAGAGCTGATGCTGACAAGAACGACAAGTCTGTGAAGGATCTGGTACTGCTGCTGTTTGAGACTGCTTTGTTGACTTCCGGTTTCACTCTGGATGAGCCCAACACCTTTGGGAACAGGATTCACAGGATGTTGAAGCTTGGATTGAGCATTGACGATGATGATGCTGTGGCTGCTGACGATGAGATGCCTGCGTTGGAAGATAATGATGCTGATGCGGAGGGCAGCAAGATGGAGGAAGTTGACTAAGTTCCTGTCCCGTTCTAGTTCTGTCATTTTTAGTGTTTTCTTATTGTCTCTCGATATGGGTTCCTTATACATATTGTCAGACTGGTCTTTTTGCAACTTTGGCATGTTACTGAATTGATGCTATTTGTGGACACCTAATTCATCCTGTTTGTGGATCTCGCTGCTAATCGATGCTTCTCATTCTGTCTTTTGCTCCTTAATGCGTCAAGCCTAATTGGTGGGCGTCGTTCATGAAATTACACCTATTTAATTTTTGTCATTTCTAGACTTCAAGAAACAACGAGAAGTTCTGGTCTACTTCGTAGTTCTTGGTAGAGTAATTTCGTAATACAACAAAAACTTAAGATACGGGTACTGCATAAACTTCGTAAAACAAATTTTACTATGAGCAGTCCTTGACAATATTTGATGAACTCTGTGTTTAATAAAATAACTTAGAATGAATAATAAATTGTGTGTACCACAAAGAAATTTACGATGTGTTCTCTTGGCTACCACCACGAAGATAATGTGATTCGAGGATTGTGCCAAATGGTTGGTACCATCACAACCGTCTGGCACAAGCTATCAGGTATGTGCCGCTAACCATCTAACAAAGTCACAAAAGAAGTGGGAAAACTTTTGTTCCTCTTATTCTAACGATACTCCCATCGGTGCCATGTCTCTTTTTTACAGTACGTAAAGAAAATTTCTTCTTGTCTTCAATATCTACCAGTGTCAATGTGGAGAATGGCAAAATCTCACTTGATCTGTCTGGCACAGGCGGCTGAGTCACATTAGTGAGAAAGGACTTAATTGGTTACTCTAGAATAGTGCGAGTCTGTAAAATTGGATAAATGTGATCATTATATGAGAGGAAAGTAGATGCATAGTGTTTCAAGTGTCACCCTTCTTAACTTTCAGTTGGTTCATTCTCAGAGTTTTTAACTTTCACTGATGATTATTCCAGAAAATTTGTGGGTTTGCAATGTATTGTGGGCCATTTGATCAATATTGCAGAAGCATATCAATTGAATGGTTTGGGAGAAAGGAAGATCAAAACACCAATTGAGAGAGTTAGATGTTCACTTTATGAGGCCAAGATATCCCACGATTTATGGGGTGAATCTTCACGTGTAATTAACTTGTATCTTGGAATTCCTCTAGATGGAGAGATGTACCACAAAATGTGTGATCAGCAACAAATCTTTATATGGTCATTGAAGAGTCTTTGGTTGACACGTCTTTGTTCATATCCCAAATTGGGGTGTAAATGAGCCAAGTCGTTCGTGAGCTGGTCATGACTCACTCCGGAAAAGCTCGACTCGAGTTCGGTCATATTAAGCTCGACTCGAGTTCGGCTCATCTTATTCGCTCATCTTATTCGAGTTCAAACCTATAAAAATTAATTAGTGAAACCTGACCCGAGCTCGAACGTAGATCGAATTGAGCTTGAGCTGAGCTCGACTTGAGTTCGAGCCTGAATTATTTAACTCGTCCAAGCTCGGATCGAGCTCGAACTCGTGAATTCTTATCAAGCTCGACAATCTCAAGCCTACCCATGCTCGGGCTCGGCTCGTTTGCACCCCTATCCCAAATTATGAAATGTTTAATACAATGTATCTTAATTTATAGGTTTTTGTCCTGATGAGTTTGAATACATGTTATATGATCCAGTTGAGAGCCAATTTGTCCAAAACAGAGATGTGAAGATCAAACTATCAAAGATATCGATAAAGATCCACCGCTAGGGTCACGAATTGAGACACTGTGATAAGACCAGTCGAGATTAAAGGGGGATAGAGAAGGATGGTTGAGAAATTCACAGAATCTGAATAAATTTCCCAAATGTTTTAGTCCGTGTGGAGAGGACAAGGCTCCTTACAATATGATAATGCTTATAAATTCTGAACTATGTAGTACGTAGCTAACAGGAAGTATTTATAATAACTATAAAGCAATAGAGTAGTGGGTTACAGGTTATGCTCATAACCACCTCCACTAATGACTTAAAAATAGCCACAATGTCAACTGCTTCCCAGGAGCAGTTTCTTCCTGCGGGAATAAGTCTTCAGTGGTCTATCACATTGATTATCATGTTTCAAATCTGCCAAAGTCAAGAAAGCCATTACTTTGTATTCTCAAGACCAGTACGTGCGTGTTGATGTCTGATGGGGGAGAACTATATACAGCTTCCAAGAGGCCATGGGAAGTGAGGAGAAGGATCAACGGTTAAGTGCAATGCAAGATGAGATAAAATCTCTTTATGACAGTAATGCCTTTGAGTTTTTGAAGTTGCTTAAGGGAAAGAAAGCTCTTAAAAATCAATGGAACCCGCAAGAGCATTCTCCAAATCCACGTCCTAAAGTCGGAGTAGTTGTCAATGATTTTGGTGAGAAGAAAGGAGTAAACTTCAGAGAAGTATCTTCTACTATTGTTAAAATGTCTTCTATCCGGACTGTACTTGGTTTGGCTGCAACCCGTAACTTAGAGGTTGAGTAGATGGATGTGAAGACAACTTTTCTTCATGTTGAACTTGAGGAGTAAATATACATGGAATATCTTGAAGGTTTTCAAATCAAGGGAAAAGAAGATTATGTTTCCAGGTTGACGAAAAGTCTATATGGTCTAAAACAAGCACAAAGGCAGTTGTAAGAAAAGTTAGATTCATTTATGAGAAATCATGGCTTCAAGAGGGATACTTTAGTTGTGTTTTTATGAAAAGGTTTTCCCGTATATGCAATCTGTAGCAGGAGTTCTACAAGTCCTTAGCACTCAGAGAAATGAATGAAAACTTTGATTATCTCGAGAGAATTACATTGACAAGGTACTTCAGAGGTTTTCAGAATGGATAAAAGCTAAAGTTGTTAGCACTCAACTTGCTAATCACATCAAATTGAGTGTCAAGCAGTGCCCCTCTCTACCGATGATGAGAAGAAAGAGATATAGAAAGGTTCCTTATGCTTTAGAAGTTGGTAGTTTGATGTGTGCCATGGTGTGAATGAAACCTGATATTTCTCAAGTTGTAGGTGTAGCTAGTCGTTTTGTTTCAAATCTAGAAAAACATTGGGATAAAGTAAAGTGGGTGTTGAGATGTCTCTGTGGGAGTTCTATTATGAGACTAGGTTTTGGTGATGAGAAATGTGTTCTTGAAGGCTACACAGATTCATATATATTTGGGGATGTTGATTCCATGAGATCTAATTTTAGATACACGGTTACCTTTGTGGGGTAGCTATTTCATGGCAATCTTGATTGTAGAACCGTGTTGCTTTGTCTATCATTGAACCCGAGTCCATTGCAGCAACTGAATCTTGTAAAACATTGCTTTGAATGAAGAAATTTCTCAAGGAGCTTGGTCATTCTCAAGCTAAGTATGTTCTACTTTATGATAGTCAAAGCAATTCATCTTGGTAAGAACAATGGAGGTATAAGATGATAAATTGTTGGAACATAAAAAGGTTCATACTCATGTAATGGGGACATGATGACTAGGGCGTTGCCTTGGTGAAAGCTTGAGGTGTGTTCAGGATGACAACGAATTAGTACCTTTTTGGGATAGTTGGGAAAAAGAGGGATATTTGTTGGGCTATCTTGTTTTCCCCTTCTTTTAAAAACAAAAAACACCACAAGGCCAACTTTAGTCTTTTTGGGAAAAGGTAAGAAGACCAATCAAAAGCAAGGAAGATTGATAGAGTGCGTGTGCAGCCAAGAAGGAAAAATAGAAGTGTGTAAACCAAGAATATTTCTGGTGTTGTCTAACTTCCTTTAACTTCAGTGTTTAAATTATCGATTAGGATGTCATTTATGCTCCGTTGTGTCTCAAATTTTGACTGTTGGTTTAAGACACATAAGGATACATCAAGGACGGTGGAGATCGGTTTTTGACAGTTAAATGGAGTTATAGTCATTAGAGAAGACTGTTGTATATGGTGATTTCTCATTTATTTCCTTCATGCTGTAAGGAAGTTTTAGCCTTTTGCTAGCTTTGGTTTATCACATTGGATGTGATTGGACTATCTTGTAACCATTCTTGATTATGATGAAACTTGAGTGGACCTGAAGGTCCTATGGATTTTACTCCTCGATTTGTAGAGGTTTTCCACATGAAACTCTTATTGTTGTGTCTGCTTAATTGTCTTTCATTTGGTGTCTTCTTTTATATTATGAGAAACTGATGTTTGGTGTCTTCCCTTTTAGTCAAGCTTGAGAGATTTAGTCAAGATATTTGGCATCGTTTATTGGTTTACTTGGACAGTTGTGGCTCCCTCAATATGTTGAGACTCAACTGACATATTAAACGTTTATAAAAAAATTATTGGGTAAAAAGACCTTTGTAGAACTATATGTAACCTACAAGTTGATAAACATGAATTTTCTTTGATAATAATATATAATTCTATTTTGTTGGTATAATATGTAACTATTTTCTTGATGAGTTGTGTGAATATAAAAAATATGTTTGATAGTGTGCATTTGAGTGGTCCGAGGAGCATGCATAAAAAAATATCACAAGAACTATATAAAATCTAAAATCACCATCACCACTTAGGGACAACAGTTGGGGATGAGGAAAAAACTATATACGGAGTAGAATATTTTACACTGTACAACTACATGTATTCTGTTATTCTATTGTTGTTATCAATTCAGTACTTTTTTGAAGCTTTACACATTTGAATAGGATATGAGCACATATACATCAACCTCAACATGAATATTGATTAACTAAACTGCACTTTCCCACAAAATTACATATATGAAGATAGCTCTCCCGATGACATAATGCAAGAAGTCTCACCACACGAAAAAAACATTACAGAACAGCTGTTCGCAGAAAAAATTGTACTAACAATATACAAAACCAAGCACCACAACTATCATATCTTACTCATATACACCCAACAATAATGGTTTTAAAAAATGAGTATGCACATTGTGACTTCACCAAGCTTTGTGCCTTTGATCCCAACAATGACTTGAAACATCATTTTAAGTGGCAAGAAGTAAACAAACCAGACACTATGCATCCTTTCTCTTTTGTCCTTCCAAAACAAATTCTGCATATAGATCTTTAATCCCAATAACAACAGTAGTAATCAGTGGTCCCATTATTGCTCCCTGCATCCCACAAAAAATCCATTACTTGGGATCCAAGTAATTGTACCAGGACAATAATGGTTAACAGTATAAACAAGAAGGAAATGATGCTGCTTCTCAACTATATTTGATACAATATTTTTTCTTGTGACTGAAAATATAT